TATATATATATATATATATATATATATATATATATATATATATATATATAAAGGCAACATTGGCAATGCCTCCTTTTAGGACAACATGTTCCTGAAAACATTGTAACAGGCATTGTGGTATAAAGACTCTTGTCTGGGCAGCTCACTTTCTCTGGGCCTTGGTCCTTTGTCTTTAAAATGGGGATAATAGTGGCATCACAGGCTCCTTTAAAGGGTAAAATGAAGTAATATATCATGAAGCATTTGGCAAATCTTAGAGCGTTACATAAATGTAAACTATTATTCATTGTATAACCTTGGGCAAGTTACTTCATAACGTTAGGCCTGTGTTTCCTCAGTTATAAAATGAGGTAACTGGACTGGATGATTTCCAAATTCCCAACTCTAAATCCTAAGAAGGTAGACTGTGGTAAAGCTGACTGAGCATGCTCTGTGCATTCATCTGTTTTCACCTTTGCCATTTATGCATGAAATTACCTTGTTTTACCACTAGGAGACATTGGTGTGTCAGCTGGGTGACTAGGATAGCCACATATATCTGGAATACTCAGTTCAGATTTGAGTAACACATTTTAGGAACGGCATTGATAGGCTCGAGAGCATTCAAAGGATGGCAGCCAGGACGGGGAGGGGAGTTCATGCCATGTGAGGACTGGTTGAAGGAACTAGAAATACCTAACTTAGTGTGCAAAAAAGAAAAGACCTGGGGAGTGGGAGACATGCCAACTGTCTTCAAGTATTTAAAAGGTAAATATGTGGAAAAGAGAGTGCTCTTCTTCTTTAGAGCCCCCAAGAACACAACCAGAAGCAATAAGGAGAAGTTGTAAAAAGGTAGGTGTGATGTATAAACCAGGATATCTGAGCAGTTTTTTGTTTTTTTTTTAAGTTTCAGCTAATTCAGACAACCTATGTGTTCTGTAGCAACATGGCTCTTAGAGCTAACATGAAGAAATATTGTGTTAATTAAAGTTATCAGAAACCATAATAAGAATATTTAATTCAGTTCCACAAATGTATTAAGTTCCTACTCTGTGGAGACTGAGGCAGATAGGAAATTGAGAGGTCCATTCATGAAATGGACATCTGGTAGGAACATAAGACTCCTATCCTGTTATTGAAGAAGCATAGTCTTTGTCAAACTAGTTGTTTGACCTCATATTGACCAAGATCCCAACTTTTACTAGTTTTTAAAAACTAAATTGGCTGAGTTAATCAACTATTTTGACATTACAGAGATATAGCCAAGAGATGATGCAAGGTGTGTGTGTGTGTGTGTATATATCTCTTATTTTAATGTCTTTCTGAGCAGCAGGAAACACTCTCTTACTTACATCACTTAAAATCTTGCTTACTCATCTGGTCCTAAATCTTTGACAGCCTCGATTGGCCGGGCTACATGTAGCAGAGGTTACAAAGAGCCTAATCTGAACTCATGATTGATCTTCTCGACAGTTTGTCCTTGGCACATATATATTCAGCACCTTCTATGGCCTAAGATGCAGGTAGTTGTTATCTGGAGGCAGGATGTATAATAAGCAATTCATCATAATTAGCCTCAGGATGATGATACATGTTTATCAATCCTATTTATTTCAGGATTTGTCAACATTTTTAGTGCAGATACTAATAATTGTGTTGGGAATGACCTTGGAAGAATGTATTATTACCTTAAAGTGAAGAGTAAAAGTGGGTCCAAGTTAAATTTCTTATGGAAGTTACAAAAGAGAAGAAAATATTCTTGAATTTTTAGCATACAAATCATGAAGTTACATGAAGCTCCACTTTAATAAAATTGTTCCTTTTGTGTCTTAAATTTTTTGGTATTGAGAGCTTTCCTTCCCTCCTGGGCTGACTTCCTATATCTGAAAGACTGCTGTAAATTACTAATAATAAGAAAAATGATAAGAGAAATGCAAATCAAAACAACTATGAGTTTTGACCTCATAAGGAACAAATTAGCAAAGATTATAAAATCTAAAAGTAGTGTTGGAGCGACTACCAAAAGACAGGCACCCTACTATACTGATGATTGAGCTGTGAATTGGTCCAAGCACTCTGAAAAAAAAAATTTGGAATTATGCTGTAAAGGTGATTAAACTGTCCATACCTTCTGACCTAGGCATCCCACTACTAGACACATACTAGCTCAAAGATGGAAAGAAAAGTCCTACATACAACAAAATATTTGTAACAGAATTTTTTGTGGTAGAAAAGAACTGGAAACGACATAGGGACCCATCGCTTGCAGAACGGTTAAATTGTGTTCCATGGTGGTAATACACTATTACTGAGCCATAAGAAACAATTATGAAGTGGTGTGGATTGAAATGAGCAGAAACAAGAAATATGACACAGGATGACTGTATTTATAAAACAGAAAGATTCCCCCCAAAACTTGAATGCTCTGTAAATTATAGTGATCAAGTTTGGCCCAGAAGAAGAGTTGAAAAGCGTATCTCACTCCCTTCATTATAGAGGTAAGGGACTATGGGTGTAAATTATTACATTATAAACACAATGTTAGCTAGTTTTGCCAAATTGTTTCTTTTTTTGTTCTTTTTTTTTTAATCTTTGTTACAAGGTCTAGCTCACTGGGTCAGGAAGGAGGAGGAATATTTTTGGAAATTAGTGTGATGTAAAATCAAGAGGCATCAATAACAAGACTTTTTAAAAGATGGTCTGTGCTAAAAATGACAACATACATGTTTTACATAATCTGAGTGATTTCTTTATTCTAGTGCGTGGAGCAGCAGTAGTTGGCATGGTCGAGTTAAAGGTGGATTGAAGGGATTTCAGAATTTCATGGTTTCAGATAGCAACATGAGTTTTGTTGAATTTGTAGAGCTGTTCAAGTCGTTCAGGTAGGACATAATTTATTTTTCTCTCTTTCCACCTCAGAGCTTTTAAGCAATACTAATTACAAAGCATTTATTATTCTTATTCTCAGTGTACGAAGTCGAAAGGATCTCAAGGATCTGTTTGATGTCTACGCTGTGCCCTGCAGTCGATTGGGCTCTGAGTCTGTCCCGCTCTATACAAACCTGAGAATTGATGAAAATACTAGTGGTCTTCAGCCTGATTTAGGTTGGTTCTGTTATTTTTAAGTACCCTTGGATAACAGCACTTATCCTTACCTGAAAATATTTTAAAATTTAGTAATTAATTCATAGAAAAAGCCAGACATTCTATCTCAGGATATTGTTGACATATATGAATTAAAATACTCACAAAGAGATAGTGTGATATAGAGTGCTGTGCTGGAAGTTAAGAACACCTGTGTTCAAATCCCATTTCTAATACTTACAGGCTACATAACCATGTCACTTATTGTCTCTGAGCTTAAATTTCTTCATCTGTAAAATGAGAATCATAGTAATAATACTACCTCAGCAGGTTGTTGCAAGGTTCAAATATGATCATGTAAGTCAAGCACTTTACAAGTTCTGAAGTGCCATGTAAATGTCACTATCATTTGAAGAATAATACAGTCAACAGCAAAGATCTTTAATGTCATTTAGTCTGCCCCTTGCTATCAATTATCCAATCATTCAACAAGCATTTATTAAATATCTACAAGGCTCTTGGGATACAGATCCAAAGAATGAAACAATCCTTAACTGTCAGTGTGTAAACCCAAAAAGACCTTACTGTATAGTCTCAATCCTGCCTATAATTTATAGATAGTAGTAGTAATAATAATAATAGCCAGCGTTTGTATGGTGCTTTAAGATTTGCAGAATACTTTACCTATATTATGTCATGACACCCTCACAACAGCCCTGTGAGGCAGCTGCCATTATTTTCCCTATTTTACAGATGAGAGGAGTCTGAAAGCATTCAGGTGACTTGTTCAAGGCCATATAGCCGGTAAGTGTCCAAGGAGAGATTCAAACGCAGGTCCCTCCTGACTCCACAGATTCTAGGTCTCTACCCACTGGGCACCTTGTCGTGATCTCAGTGAAAATAGTGAGAAATTCTTTCCCCTTCATCCTCCTTCATAATATATACCTCTCATGTAACAAAGCACTGTGCATACAGTATTGTCTCTTAATAGCTAAGTCTTTTTTAACCTATTTTAAGCAGGTCCTCTGAGGGACCATTTTATAAACTCTTCATCATAGGACACTGGACTTGGAGTCAGGAAGACTTGGGTTCAGATCCCACCTCAGACACTTACTAGCTGTGTTACTTGTAGTCAGTTACATAATCTTTCTGTGCCTCAGTTTCCTCATTTGTAAAAGTAAGGGTTTGTCATTGATGGAAGGTAGCAAGCATTCATTAAACACTTACTATATGCCAAGTACTGTGCTCATCAAGCAGAGGAAAGAAATATGAGCAAAAGGAAAGATAGTCCTGTCCTCGAGGAAGTTTCATTTTAGTAAGGGAAGATAACGCAGAAAAGGCAACTGCAAAGGAGGTGGGGGAGGGTGCAGTACCCATGTGGGGCATGCTGTGAAAGTTCAAAGAGCCAGAAGCTGAGCCAGGAGGGGAAAGAAGCATGGCCAGCCTGGGCCCCTTCCCAAAATGGAGGTCCCAGAAAGAATTCACCAATGGGAGAAGGTAGACTGTAGGAGCGAAATAATATTCCAAGGTGAGAAGGCAATTGAAACATGGACACAAAGTTCAAATGGCTTTTTAAGGTCCCTTATAGCTCTAAATCTGTGATCCTATGATCTTCTTTGGATTGTATTCGGATTCAAGCACAGATACCAAATTGAAGATATTATTTTGCTAAATTAGGGTTGCTTCACAGTTTCTACAAATTATGTAGCTATTTATACATCTAGTATTGTGATTTTTTAAATTTGGCCAATGTTCTTACTGATATTTAATTTTCAGTCTGCTATGACTCTTAGATCTTTTTCTCTGAAATCCTCTCATATAACAGCAGCATGGGAATGTTGTGACTTCTCCCTTGCGGCAAAATACTAAGTTGTGTAGAAATTTAACCATGTTCTGATGGACCCATGGCCATTATGGCCTCACCTCAAACAAAGGATTCACTAATGATAGGAGTATAAACAGAACCCACACTCATGAATTTGCTCATTCTTTGCTTCTAATGATTTTAGTCATTGATGTTTAGTCTTTAAAAAGCATTTAAGAAAGCTAGGTTTGTCTGTATTTCCTTCAAGGAGCTTCACTTATCTGTATGATTAACATGAGTGTGGGCCAGATGATTTCTTTGGTCTCTTCAAGCACCATGGAAGGAAGGAAGGGAGCAAACAGTGTGTTATTGAGCATCTGCCACATTCTGTGATTTCATGAAATATGCATAACTACATTTTAATAAAGTGTATTCATTTTAATAAGGTAAATAAATTAGGAAAATGAGAGGAACTGATTTTGAGATAGATAGATAGATAATCTCTACGTATATAAAAATGTAAGTGGTTTTCAGTGAATGTCAGAATCTACATTCTGCTAACAGATTCTCACACTCAGTTCCTAACTCATGCTTCTTGCTCTCCAAGTATTTGCAAGATGCTCCCAATTGAATGTAAGTTCTTCAAGAGCAGGAACTGTTCTGCTTTGTTTATCCTCGATTCCACAGTGCTTGGCATATAGTAAGTGTTTAATAAATATTTGTTGAATTAAATTGAAAAATTCGGACCAGAGGCCCTGTAGTTTTTGTAGAATTTTTAGAGAACTAACACTGCATTCATTTGGTTAACTAGCTAAAAAGAAACATTCTAGCCTAATAATTCTGTGGGTTGAGTCCAAAGCCCCCTCTCTTGCTTACTACCTTGATGACTTCATGTCAATCACTTACCTTGTCTGGATCTCATTTCCTCATCTTTACAATGAGAGGGTTAGATGAAATGGTTTCTGAGGTCTCTTCCGACTCTAAATCTATGATCTATGAATTCGTCTTCTAAATCAGCTTTGTGAAATTCCTTGGGTATTTCTCTTCAGGTTTAATGTGTTGTTTTTATTCTAGATTTGTTAACCAGGAACGTGTCTGATTTGGGCCTGTTTATTAAGAATAGGCAACAATTATCAGACAACCAGAGGCAGATATCTGATGCCATCGCTGCTGCTAGTATTGTGACTAATGGTTCTGGAATAGAAAGCACCACACTCGGCGTTTGTGGGGTTGGCATACTGCAGCTCAATGACTTTTTAGTGAATTGCCAAGGAGAACACTACACTTATGATGAAATACTCAGCATTATTCAGGTATGTGTGTTTGAGTCTCTTTTCCCCTGACTCACTAGAGTCTGAGAGGTTTGGGGCATTTTTTGAGAATTTCTTACCAGCCTTTCTGTTCTTCTGTACAAAGTTCTGCAACTTGGAGGCAGAAATAAAGGACCTCTTAAAGACCAAGCATACATACATACATACCTTTCATACATACCAAGCATGCATACCTTTCTTTGTCTCACCTATGCTTAGCACAATACCTAGCACATCGTAGGCACTTAATAAAAATTTGTTGGCTACCTAACCAACCTCTAAGCATCTGACTTAATGACTACAAGTCCCAGAGAATGTCTTAGTCAATGAGTCTTACAAGTACATGTACGTGGTTAGAAGTGAATTAAAATTCAACCATATTTGGAAGTATTTGATTCCAGGGTTTGTAAATTAAATTAGCAGGAAAAATAAAAGATTAGCAACCTTACATGCAATAAATTTGGGACTGAGCGCCCACTTCTGTATAATGTGATTGAGTGCGATCAGTCCAGACTCATGGCTGTCTTTGTCATTGATTGACAGTCAGCAGTCAGGTGTGACAGTGTGATGCAGTAATTGAGATCAATTGTCAGTTAATAAGTATTTTTAAGGACCTACTACATGCAGTAACTTAAGTGAAAAGTAATAAGGGCCTGAACTGTGGTGGTAGCTATATGAGTGAAGAGAAGAGATCAAAGTATGGCTAAAAATTGAGATTACCATATCTTTCAAAGACTCTGATTTTATTTTTCATTCCTATAGACAACATAATTCTCAGGGTTTTTTAAGTAGAATGTTAATGTAATTAACACATAAAATTTTATTTTCTTTTTTATTAAAATTTTATATTTTCCAATACTTATGTTTTAAAATTAATTCAAGTTTTTGGTTCAAAAATTTCGCCTGGAGTGTAGTGTAGCTTTAAAAATCAGAACATGTGCTATTCATTATGCTTATTCTCCTTGTTCCAAATTACATGGTCTTTGTGTCCCCTGCAGAAATTCGAGCCTAGTGTGAGTATGTGTCAACAGGGTCTAATGTCGTTTGAAGGATTTTCCAGGTAATTGGTTTTTTAATGATTATTTTTTCTTATCTATTAGTTGCATGAATTTTATTTAACTAAATATTCATGGTAAAATGTAATTGTTTTGACATAGGTTTCTGATGGATAAAGATAATTTTGCTTCACAAAATGATGAATCACTAGAGAATGTTAAAGAATTGCAGTTACCACTCTCCTATTATTACATTGAATCTTCGCACAACACATATCTCACAGGACATCAGCTTAAAGGAGAGTCCTCAGTGGAGCTATATAGCCAGGTACACAGAATTTAACTTAGTTCATGGTCTTCATTAGGAGATTGTTTGTTTGTCTAAACCAAAGGTCATTTAGCCTGACCTTGGATTCTTTAAACATGTTGCATATTCTAAGCCATTGCATGTCACATCTAGAGAAACATGTGTGGGAAAACTGCTTATGTGCACAGTTGTTTCCAGTATTTTTCCTGATCTATACTTAAGCTTTATTCTTTTTTTAAAAAAGGCATTTGTTTTAGATTCATGGCTTTTAAATTCTAGTTTGTCTGCCCTACTCTTCTAAAATTAGACTTTCTCATGGGAAAAATATCTAATAGCTTAGCTAAATGTTAAATAAATCATTATATTATAGTGGCAAAATAGAAAAGGGAACTTTAGTAAAATTTGATTCCAAGAATATTGTTTGTTTTGCCTTATAATTTGTTAGACAATCTATTACTATATTAACTGATTTGGAAAAAAAAATTGTCTAGAGGAGCCTGCTGCCTCAGTCTTGCTGTGTGATCTTCAGGAACTGTCTTCACTTCAGCTTCTTTATGCTCTCTAGGGTTCCTTCTAGCTTTAAATTATCTGTGATCCAAGGTCTATTCACATAAAGTCATCTAATATAAAATTATGTATTCCAAACCTGACTTTCCCATTAACTTTCTTTATAAAAATAAAGATTGTATTGTGAAAGAGGGGAAAAAATTCCTAACACGCCAATCCAGAGCTGGTATGTCCACCTCTAACCCCTACCTCCGTTTGTCTGTAGTAGCAGCCACTAGAACATTGAGCTAACCCCGGGCCACATGCTGATGTTTGCCCTAGGTGTTCAACTCCCCAGTTACCAAAGGAAACCATACTACCTCCACACTCTGAATTAATTAAGCAAGGCCAGTGTTCCTGCCTAGTAGTAGTAGAGGTGGCTGTCATCTGTAAGATGAAGTGACTACCTCTTGCTCTTTTCCATTTAAGCTATTACTTCCTACTTCTCCTGAATGTACTGAGGGTTCTCTTCAGACTAGCAGTACTAAATGAAGGAACTGTGATAGGCCCCTAAAGAAACCCTGCTTCAGTAGTGTTGGTGGTCAGCTTCTACATTCCTGATTTGTGATTCCTGTGTGCCCTGCTCCTGGGCAGGGCTCAGCTAGCACTGGTTGAAGGGAGAGGCATGTTGTGTCAGCTATATTCCTAAGGACAGAGTGATTCCTTTACAAGGCAGCACTGGTTTGCGTGTGAAAGGCCAGACCTGACCTCGTTGAGACATTTATAGGTTCAGTGATCTAGAATGCTCTTTCAAGGTTGTCTTTCATTAGCCTCCTAACTAAATTATATCGTTTTGATTCCCTACTTACCTGCCCCTAGTAAAAGCAAAATAAAAAACAGGCAATACCAGTCACACAGGGATTTGTTGCTCCTTATGTGCTTAATAAAAATCTGTTCGACAAACAGAATGGGAGTACTATATGCAGCACTCCACCACAGCTTCAGGGTGGAGGGATACACATGGTTCAGGCATACCATTTCCAAAAGCTACTTTTAGCCCAAGGTCTAGGGAAAAGAAATAAGTGACTCTCTCCTGTAGCCTTAGTCAGTCAGTTTTTAAGAGCTTTGTTGTGTGAAATAAATAGAATAGCAAAAAGCAAGATTTATATGGACGTCAAAATTTCATTGCAATATCTGAGCAAGAACTCTAGCCTTAGGATTAGACTTTTCTTAACATGGGAAGAGATATCATTGACATTGATCAACCATCTCATTCAATACAGGTTCATTCTCTAACATAAAAATAGGGGTATTTTTTCATCATGTCAAAAATATTAAAGGTTCTCTCACAAATAGATTTCTATGAAAATTGTTATACCCCCAAACAAATCACAGAGTAGTAGCCAAAGCATTTTCAACAAGAGCTGTACTTTATGAGGAGATACTTTAAGTACATATTCTAGATTCTTCTTCAGGATTGACTGGCAAAGAAGGGAGCTTTGGGCATTACTATTATTCTCCCTCTAAAATCAATGCAGCTATTTAACTAACTGAAGAGATTAATTTTATATGTTATACAATTTATTATACTCTTTAAGTGAGCCAGCCAGGTCCAATTAAATATAAAGTCCTATACTTTATGTTTAATATTGCATTTGAGCTCTGAAGGTCATTTGTTCTGTAAAATCACAATATTAACCAACAATGTGATAGGGCAGCCCAAAAAAGCTAATAAGGACTCGCACTACTTGGGAAGTCATAGCTTTCCTGGCCTACGTAGACCACATCCAAAGTACTGTGTTCTATTGTGGGCATCGTATTTTAGTAAAGACATTGATATGCTGAAGAGTGTTCAAAGAGCAGCCAGGATGGCAAGAACCTTGAGTTCATGCCATGTGAGGGTCAGCTGAAGGAATCAGAAGTGTTTACTCTGGAAAAGAGACAACTTAGGACTTGACAAGTTAAGACCATCTTCAAGAGGTTGAAGGCTGGAAGGTTTTGTATAGGATTTGAATGTGGAAGATGGATTAAACTTGTTCCATTTGTCCCCAGAGGGCAGAACAGAAGCAGTGGGTAGGTAGGGGCTGCAAAGAGCTAGATTTAAGCTCGATGTCAGAAAAACTTCGTAACAATTAGAGGTATACAAAAGTAGAATGAACTGCCTTGAGAGGCATTCAGTTCCTACTCATTGAAGATCTTCAAGCTGGCAATATGACTGCTTATCGAGGCACGTCGAACTGTCAGGGGGAGTCTTCTTCAGGTGGATTGGGCCAAATGACAGATGAGTTTCCTTCCTGTTCTGAAATTCTGTGATTCTGTTATTATGCTGAGTTTAGGGTTTTATCTCAGCTTAAGTTCTCACATGGACTAGTTTGCTCATCTGTAAAATGAACAGACTGAACTGGGTGATGTTGAAGATGCCTTCCAGTGCTAAATCCTATGGTTTTATAATCTTACAGGTCCTCTTGCAGGGCTGTCGAAGCGTGGAATTAGACTGTTGGGATGGCGATGATGGGATGCCGATTATTTACCACGGACATACGCTCACTACCAAGATTCCCTTCAAGGTAGATTCTTTATCATCATCTTCAAATGAAGTCACAAAAAGTATCATCCATTTACACTGTTTTTAAACATACACCCCAAAATACTATCTTTGGTTATTCATTAGATAAAAGCATTGCTGCAATTTTAAAATTATGTATAAATAGCGGCCTACATTCTCAAGTTTTTGTTTAAGAATCAGGAATGTTGGTTTCTGTTGAATTGCAGAATTACACCTGACTGTGGCAGGCAATATGGTAAGATGATTTCAATACATACATATGACATCCAACTATAAAATAATAAATCATTCTATATTATATACCACGTATACCATGCACAAGAAAGTCTCTCATCGCTCTGTAGTTACATCTCAAATGTAAGTTTTAGAGTGGTTCGTGTAATGTCTTCGCCGACTTTTGTTTTCTAGAATATTAGGTTGCATTATGTATCCATAATACATAGTTGATGATTTTTAGACCTGCTTTGAATGTGAAGACTCTGACCAGAGTATGTGTTTTCTTCTCCTTTATAGTAATAATTATCCACCTTAAGATGCTTTTCTTATATTTTTACATGTGCAGGTTCTAGTTTCATAACTAGCATTTAAGTGCCCTGAGAGCAGGGATTGTATTTATATCTCTATAAGCACAGTGCCTTTGCACATTGTAAAAACTCAACAAATAATTGTTGATGGGTCAAGCTTAGCAAAATAATAATTCTTTCTTGTGGTGTATAAACAGAATTTATTGCAATTATCACCTAATTTTGAGGAGTCAGAGGATAATAAATGATCATAGTTTTAGAATTGGAAGAAACTTTAGGAGTCATCTAGTCAAACCCACTAATCTTACAATGAGAACAGTTTGAGGCCCAGAGAAGTAAAGTGATTTGTTAAATTCAAATCTTGATTCTGCTCTTTACTTTGTTTGTAATAGTAGCCAAATCACTTCACCTTTCAGAGTCTCACTTTCCCCCTATGTAAAATGAAGGGTCTAGATTACTTCTAATGTCAATTCCCAGCTCCAAATCAGTTATCCTATGATGCATTTAAAAAGGGAACCTGATTGACCAAAGAGCAAGTCTAAAGTTATTTGTTAGCCTGGGGTGAGGAAGAAGGCTCTTCATAAGCAAAGTTCCTACTGTTACTAAAGTATATACCACCATCATGCCTTTTGCCTCCAGCTCACACTCATGAACCCTTCCCTGCCATGCCTTAAGAAGGCGACAGTATGTTATAGAATACATTTGTCTATTCCACCTTGAGCTTCACCCCAGGTAGGTCATGTATAGTCTTTGAACAGAGACTGGGTACCATTCCACCCCCTTTATTAGTCAAACACAATTAGATTTCAGAAAACTTTGGAGCAAAAATGTTTCTCCTTTCCTAAGGGAGAACAAACAAACAAACCCAGAAGTCGATATCTCCATCACTAAGTATGGTCCACAGGCTAATTGCTTGAGGATTCTGTTTCTTCAAAGATGAATAATTGGGCTCATGCCTGTGCTTACCACATTCATCCCAGGCCACCCTATGCACATTGACCCATAGGTTACTGTGACATTTCTGTGTCTGTAATGTAATGTGTTGTGGTATCCATTTATCCATTTCTGTGTATAGGTAGTCTTTTTCTTCCAGTGTGGACGGTAGTACTTGTGACACCGAGCCAATTGTCAGATTGTTCACAGATTCCAGCAGGAACATGAAAATGTATACCTAGGTTTTGTCAGTTTACTTACATTAATTGTGAATAAAATAGCCACTCACTAAATTGGGAGGCCTGTACAAAGGAGATCTCAATAAGAACGTTTTCTGTGTAGATGATCACTGGGTACGCTGCACATGCCCTCCCACTTACTGACCACAGGAGTTTCTGAGATGTCCCAACATCCTAGACTTCTGCTTTTTCCTCCACTATTTTTGCTGACCACAGAAGAACCAACAGAAGCAACTCCATATATTTCTGTGCCACTGCCCCCCTGCTACCTGAAGTGTGCTTTCATTTTAAAATCAAACAGTTACTCTGCATTTTTCCCAGGTGTTTGGAGCTAGTTCTTTACTCATGATCATCCTCTGTGCCTCTTAACACCTGGGCTAAAGTCCCTAGAAAAATTTAATTGTTTGAGTTTTTCTTTGGGGTTCAGAGGTCCCCCTCTTTTCAGTTGTGACACGTATCTAAATCAAAGTTCCCCTCTCAGGCCCCTGTAAGCTTTAAAGCACTGACCTTAGTTGATATGTGACAATATAGGAGGCTTCTCACTTGGTCCTAGAAAATGAAGCTTTGTCTAGGTCTATGATACGTAATAATCCATTCTCTCTCTAGACTCTCGTGTGGCATGCTCAGTGGATCTGGGCATGGTTAGGCTATGCCTGATTTTCCATATACCCAGCTCTGTTCACTCCCAGAATGTGTTCTTCTAGAGTTCAGCCATACTTAGACAGGTTTGATTCTTTATTCCTTTCATTCAGGGATGGGATATCTGCTACAAGAGTGCTTCCCACCTTACGTTTTCTATTCACAGATTTGTTCATGGAGGGGAAAAACCCTATGGCCTTATATAGTGGATTATTATCAATGCAAATGATGATACTTTAGCCCAGTTTGTTACACTAAGTCGCCCATCTTATGACATTGTTCTTTACGGTATGGCTTATCCTACCTATCTGTTCACTCCTTTTCATTCTCTTTTACTAGATCATCATTTATCTCTCTGCTCCCTAAGTAGGGAGTCCCTCAAGGCTTTTTCATGGACCCTCTTTTCTTCTCACTCTTCATTCCCTTCCATAGTGATTTCATCAGCTCCCATGGGTTCAGTTATCACCTCTATGAAAATGATTTCCATGTGAGCATAGCTAGCCATACTCTGTGGTGCAGGAGAGAAAAGCATTGAATTTGTAGTCCCAGGACCTGAGTTCTAATTCCATACCTGCTAGCCATTACTCATGCTATCGGGCAAGTCATTTAACCTCTCTAGGCCTCAGTTTCTTCATCTATGAGTAGGTTGAAGTAGATGACCTCTAATGTCAGTGCCAACTCTAGATTTATGATCCTAATCTCTCTTCTTGACCCATTCTTACATAATCAGCTGCCTACTGGACATTTCTGCCTAGATATATCTCAAACTCAACATGACCGAGTGAAACCTAACCTCATCCCTCTATATCGAGCTGTCACCAGACAGCTTCATCCCATCCGGATGTCTGACAAGCACACTGGGACCTAGAAAGAGTGGGCATTCTGCCATTTGCCCTGCCTCTGCCCACATATCACATTCACCCACCCTCACTCCTCTGCTTTTTACCTCTTTCTCGGGGAATAGTAATTAGTAACAATCATCTGCAAAATAGATCGGATCCTCTCTGAATCCCAGTAATTCTGAATCATAGAATCCCTTCCCTAGCCATGACCTTGACTCCCTCTTATACTTTTGTATTAGCCTTATCCATCAGCAGTCAGTATCCAGCTCTGCCCTCCACTTCTGTTATGCTCTGTGGAACTTTTGTTCTGTTTTTTATTATGTTGTCCCCTAAATCCACTCCTCTTCCCATTCTCCCTTTTTTCTACAGAAAAAAAATTACCATTTTTTTAACTTACTCGGGTTCAAAATCTAGGGATCTTCCTTGACTCTTCATTCTTCCTCACTCTCCATATACAGTGAGTTGTCAAGTATTGCTGATTGTCCTCAACATCTTTTGAAATCTCCTCTTTTCTCTACAGTCTTCCAGGCCCTCAAACAGTCCTCTCCAAAATCCATCTTTTTTACAGATGTCAAATAGATTTGTCACTCCTATGCTGTGCTAATTGTGGAAGAAAAAGGACCTTGACATAGTGAGGTAAATAAAAATAAGCAATCTCTCCTCCTTCTCTCCCCCAAAGAAGAGACCTCAATTAAATCTACTCCATTAGAGAAGAGCAACCTCAGATTTAAGTGAGAATTTTTTTTAAAAGGCCTCTCCTTCCTTTCTCTCCTCATACAAAGGAAAGAGTTTCAAATAAGGTCTGCTGCTGGAGAAGAGAACTTTGGTGTTCATGGTAAAGGAAAATGGACAAGTCAAAATCTTTGGGAGATTCTGACCCAAAGAAAGATTCCTGAGGCAAAGGAATGATTCTCACCTTGATCTGATCCCCAGAGTTGGGGAGACCTAGATCTCAACTCCTGAGGCCCCACCAACAAAAATGAGTAAACAGAAAAAAATAATAGTAAAGAACTTTTATGATGCCAGGAATGACCAAGACACAAACCCAGAAGAGAAGAATAACTCAAAAATACCTACAATCAAAACCTCAAAGAGAAAAAAAACAACTTGCCCACAAAAACAAATAGAATCCTTTGAAGAAATTATGTAAGAATTTTAAAAGGATATTATAAAAGAAATACAGCTGTTGAAGAGAGATTTGGGAAAAGGATCAACCAATTAACAGAAGAAGTACAAAACTTTAGTCTAGTAATGAAGTCCCTAAAAATTAGAGTGAACCAAATACAAATTAATAACTTCAGGAGATAGAATTCTTAAAACAAAGTCAAAAGAATGAGAAATAGAGGGAAATAAAAGATATCATATCAAAGTTAACTGACATTAGAAACAAATAATAATAGCTAACATTTATATAGCATTTACTACGTGCCAGGCAGAGTGCTAAGTACTTTACAGTTGTCTCATTTGATCCTCACAACAACCTTTTGAGTAAGGCGCTATGATTGTCCCCATTTTATAGATGACAAAACTGAGGCTAACAGGTTGAGTGATTTGCCCAGAGTCACACAGATTGTAAGCGTCTGAGGCCAAATTTGAGCTCAAGTCTTCCTGTCTCCAGGTCATGCATTCTATTTACTCTGCCACTTTGTTGGCACAAATCAAGGAGAGGTAACATAAGAGTTATAAGCTTACCTAAAATACATGACCAAAAAAAAAGAATCTTGGCATTATATTTCAAGAAATCATTCAAGAAAATTGCCCAGACATATTAGAACAAGGTGACAATGTGACAATAGAAAGAATACACTGACCATCTCCTGAAGG